AAGGAAAAAAAAAAAAAAAAAAGGGTGCTACAACCGCCCTTTTCAAACTCGGGGCCTGATGTTACCGCCTTCTGATGTTATGACTGCCTTTTCAAACTGCGGGCATTTTTCCGTTGCCCATTAGTGTTTTTTTTGCCTTTACAGTTTGAAAGTGTGCTACTACCGCACTTGTTTCTTCTTTTTTTGTTGTTTGTTATTTTTATTATTAGTATTTGTTTTTCATATTTTATTTTTATTTCAAATTTGGTAAGGAATTTGGATGTAATGCTCAGGGGTGAAGTCCCACCGCCGAAGTTGAGTTTTCTCAATGCTGAGCTTTCTATCACGTGTGGCCTGGTGGGACGGAGCTCTACCGTTGATGTATTGAGAATCTAAGGGTACCGAAATACAGGAGAATAACCTATTAGATTTGGTCGTTTTGTACATTTTTTCTTTGACATGAAGTCTGTTTTGTCGTATGCTTTGGCCCTTTCCATTTGGGCAGGAAACCATTTTCCATTGAGAAAACTACCCTACGGAGGGGAGGGTTCATTTCTCAACTAGACATCATTACACCCTGAAATGCAGGAACTCTGACAGCTGTGTTTGACTCTCTCGCATCAAACTCTCTTCCTTCTTTGGGCAATGAGTGCATCTGGCCATCCATGTTGTTCCTGTCCATTTTACAAATGGTGACCTCCTGTCCCCTCACCACGGGAAGTATCCTTTTTCCATGGAGACGTTCACTCCGACTGTGCCAAACGTGTTTCATTTCTCCCAGTTACTTAATCAAAAGGAAGGAGAAAAGCTGTTTCTAGCATTTTTTTTCAGTTTTTTAATTTCTTGTTTCGAAGTCACACGGTTGGGTTTTCTAAACTTAAACTTGGGCGGTGGGATTTCACCCCAGGCAAATCTTGTTATTTATTTTTCTTCATAACATACAGAGTGTTTTTTTTTTTTTTTTTTCCTTTTTTTGGGTCCGTGCTTGGGCCGAACGGCCGAACGCATCCCCAAGGGGTCCCATACGTTCGGGCGTTCGGCCTGTCCCGAACACCGGTTACCCCGGTCTGGAGTGTATTTTTTGGGTGTTTTGCTGGCTTGTGTGATGGGGTGTGAATCGACAGTCTATGGAGTTTTCCATCTGGTGTGGGTGAGTGATAGACTGCTTTGAGGGCAGTGTTTGGTGCCCACCTCAGGGTATCAGTTGTTGGGCAGTCGTTGATCCTTAACCACAGCTGGGGTTGAGGTGGATTATCACTTAGTGTAATCAGTTACTAGGGGATTCTGCAGACTGTCGAGGGTGCAGCCTCCTGATGAGTCGGTGAAACTCCAATGAAACAGTTTGTCACAGCCCCTCCGGCCCCCCTCATTTGTTGTCCTCTTCTCCCTCTCTGCCTATGGTTTACTGGGCAGCTCTGTTTGATGATATACCATGACTTCGCTAGCACCCTGCTACAGTTTTCTTCGGTCAGGTCGAGCCGCAGTGGTCGGGCCCGTCACTATGTGGCCATGCTGTGCCTCCAGTGCCAGCGGGGTGTCTGGAGTGTATTTTTTGGCTGTGGCAGACCTCTCGTTGTTTCGTGGGCATGTTGTGGCTTGTGCTGGCTTGTGATGGGCGCGATGGGGTGTGAACCGATAGTCTGTAGAGTTTTCCATCTGGTGCGGGTGAGCGATATTCTGCTTTGACTTTCGTCACAGGTACCTTGAGGGCAGTGGTTGGTGCCCACCTCAGGCACTCAGGGTGTTAGTTGTCGGGCAGTCGTTGATGCTGATCGTCACAAACAGAACTGCCCGGTAAACTGTAGGCAGAGAGAGAGAAGAGGACAACAAACGAGGGGCTGTGACGAACCGTTTCATCGGAGTTTCATATATATAGAGGCGATGAACAGGTGGGGCTTTCCTTCCTTCATTTCCTTTCCTTGTGTTGCTTTTTTCTCCCTTCGCGCTCTGATTCACAGTGTGACAATATATATATCGTCGAACACATGTCTTGTTTGTTTTAAAAAGTGCACTCTTTTCGTTGATGCATGTGCCACAATATATTCTGTAAGTGTTTATCAGAACTTTTTCCTGTTGCTGACATTGGGAAGAGGACTGACTGGGAGAGTCTGAAGCCCTCTCAATTGAAGGACGTGTGATTATCTCGTGAATTGTGACTATGGTGTAACAATGGTGTAACAATGAATGCAGGTACTTACAATTATGGAGAGGAATGGAGATGGGCAGTACGGGGATGACATACCCATTGGGAAAGGAGATTGCTGCAAGGTCTTCAACGATCCAATTCACAAGCACATGCAGATTGACCGGGTGGGTTGTCTTTGCTGTTTTGTTTTGTTTGTTTTTGAATTCCTGAACCTGAAGGTGGACCATGTTTGGAGTTGTGCTGGGAACTTCTGTGCTGGTACCATTAGGCCCTCAGGAACGATCTTGTGCTTTACAGAGGCCCACTGGCAGGCTCTCTGCGTTCTCCTTATGATTGCGTTGGTTCTCTTTGTTGCTTCATTTGTAGCTTTCCTGAAAAGGTTTGGTTGGGCTGGGTGCAGTGAATCCCCCCGACCACTGACCACGGTGGTCGCGACCGGGGCCTCCCGGTCATGACCAGGCTGGGCACGGCCTTGCCGGCCGCGTGGCAGCCAGGGGGAGGGGGGGATCGGGGTTTAGCAACCCCGGCCCTACCCCTAGGTTAAATCAAACTAAAAAAAGAAATGGTTTTTTTGGGGGGTGATTTGGAGGGGTGTGCTTGATTGACCGATTGGTTGATTGATTGATTGACTGATTGGTTGACTGATTGATTGACTGATTGGTTGATTAATTGATTGACTGATTGGTTGATTAATTGATTGATTGGTTGAAAGAAAAACAAAAAAATGTGTACCTCTGTGCGTGTGTGTGTGGGTGTGTGCGTGTGTGTGTGCGCGGGCGTGTGTGGGGGGGGTGGGCAACCCCCCCCCGCAATTAAGCAATCAACCACTCAATCAATCAATCAATCAACCAATCAAAAAACGAAAAAAAAAAAAAAACGAAGCATGCGAATGGACGTGCGTGTGTGTGTGTGTGTGTGTGTGTGTGTGTGTGTGTGTGTGCGCGCGGGGCCGTGTCCTAATATGTGGGTGGGCACGAGTTGTTTGGTGTGGGAATGTATGCTTGGAGTTCTGGCCACAGTATCTTCGTGACGAGACTCAGAGAGTGTTTACTGTGGGTGTCATTCCCATGGGCTACTCTTTTGCGGCACATAGAAGAAACAGGGACTTTCAGGGTTTTAAGCAGTAGTGCTCCTGGTCTTGCGTGAAGATTTTGTGGACTTAAAGAATAAGGTAGATAGCAGATGGGGGATGTCAAACCATGGAGTGATAGAGATGGTGATGACGTGAGTCAGTCATTTGGGAGGAATGGCAGTGCCAGTGCTGTTGTGCTTGTGTGCCGAGGCTGAGGGCTGTCCAAGTTTTTTGGACTATTGTTGGGTCTGGTTGGTCCTTTCTTGCTGGTGGAGCCTTCGGTGTTAGGTATGTTGCCTTTTGGCCTTCAGAGCCTTCACCTTTTTTATAGATTGAAAGAACTACACACATCTGTGCAAGACAGGTGTGTGGGCACTTCCCAGCTCAACCACACAAACATGGGGGAACCTTGCACCTTCTATTATATTGCCTGCATAATTTTTTTTTGTTCCATGGATGTTTTATGATGATTTGTGGATGGAATGGGAGAGAGAATTGGGGAGGCTTAGAA